GATCCTCGACACCTACGCGGAAACGAATTTTCTGACTTTATCTGCATCAAAAATAGCAGTTTTGCAGTTTTTTTGCAACTTGATTAGAGTTTTGTTTTCTATCAGGAAAGAAATCGACGACTTGTGATAGCGTGCGAGAAGCACATCGAAAGCTATAAGACATCGTGGAAACGCAACAATGCATCCAGTGGTTGAATGAGATCACCAAGACAGCAACTGCTGAAGAGAACGTTAGAATTTTCGATTTGGTGAAGGAATTTTTGCACAATGCCGGAAAAGACGACGTGGTGGCTCAGTGCGAAACTTCTGAGCAAGAGGTCTTCCAGGTATTGTAGTTTAGTCTTTTACTCTAGGAATAAAGTTACATTGCGTACCTACTTTTAATGTTTCAGCTATCGCAGCATTTGAATTTAGGCATCCAAAAATGTCTGCAAATATACACCGAATACTTCTCGATTTTGAGTCAGTGCCCAAAAAACCTATTTGCAAAACCACAGGGTGTATTTTACTTGCAATGGGTTAGGTTCCTGCTTCAAATGAAGAACTCTCAGAGCTGTGACGTGGTGTTTGAAAACTTAAGGACTTCCACGATTCAACAAAGATACTGAACAGTGCGCAGGTGGTCAATGTGGCTCTAAGTCTCGATACTTTGTATAAGGAGAATCTCATGCAGGTAATATCTACATACAGTACAATTGCATTTGGAAAAGCCGTTATTAATGTTGCATCTTAATCATGGTGGCATTTCATCTGGTAATCTAAAATCTAAATCCTTATGGAGAATGACTTTTGGCTGGAAATTTGGTAACTTCATCCCCGTTATATACCGGGAGCATTTCATTTCTTCATGGTAGCTCGTCATTTTCTCTGACTGAAATGTCCATAGGGCAGTGGGCACAAAGCCATCTTCACTGCCAATGTGACAGATAACCAATCGTTTTCCTTTCCTGGAAATAATTATTTCATATAGTATTCAAGAGAACTAATAATAATACAAGCGGAGTATCTAACAGGTGTTGGTTCCAAATCTACCATATATTGATAAGTTTAGTGTAGCTAAGTTTTCAGCGTGGGCTCATAGATTCGGTCTACTTGACACAATTTTTTACAACACAATGTCAAATTGGTTAGATACACGTGAATTGAAACACTTGGTATATGCTCATAGCTTATATAGTTGGCTACATTAACTTTTTTAATGTAGATTTCGAATTATTGCGGAGATGAGAAACATAGGTGTGACAAATTCTCATAGACACCGCCAGGACATCTCATTCATCTCAGATAATTTTTTGAACGCCCAAATACAGTACACGGTTGTCTTTTTGAGGTAAAATCCGTTAATCAATGGTTGAACACAATATGACGACCGCGGGAACCATCCTTATTTATTCGTTGCTAGGGAACGACACCAGTACCAGCGATGTAATAGTCAATTTATTTTTACTCTTAATTGCGACAAAAACATACTATAATATGTTGGCGTATTGAGACCGTGGCGCGTTTCATCTTTGGATCTAACTTTGCGCTATGTGCCATAAAAGCCCGCTTTGCGCCCTAGATACATATGTAACTATTTTCTTTCCAATGCGCTATGGTATTCTCTACAGGTGAACAAACTATTCGAAGAACTAGCGACGATTCGAACAAAAGACGTGAGCACCTCTCTAGAAAAAATGTACTCGAACGCGAAAGCAGGTGTAGCGACCTTCCTGGCTCGCGAAAAAGGTGCGGCTAGCGCCATGGAGTTCGTCATCGCCAGCGAGCTGGTGCTTCTGAACAGGAACTTGCTGACGTTGGAGGTGGCGGCGCAACGCAGCGGCGATTGGCTGATCAAGCTCACGTCCAGAGATGGCGATTGGTTCTTGGACGATTTGTTGCTGAACAGCGCCAGAGCGGTCGAGATTATTGGGAACTTGCCGCCCAGGCAAAACTATGACGAAAAGTTTTACAAGGTAGAGTATAATTTAAGTAACGATTCCAAAGCTCAAAAAAATCGGGTCTCGAGTCGTTAAATGAAAATATGTACGAGTTGGACATAGATTGCAACTCGTATATTAGAAGGAATGCACAGATTGCAGCGTACACAGTTTCAAGTACAATATAACGAATCTTGGTTAAGGACTTCTTTACTCTAACGCGTCGACAACCGATTAACTAATATTTTCATATGGCTGTTGTGCTTAAAGTGGAACTAGCGAGACACTTTGAGAAGTTTCTCGTGAACACAGTCAATGTTGTCATTTATGTATATAATTTTTACAAAAAAAAAACAGATTATTGAACAGATTCATGCTTCAAGGAATAAAGTGAGCTTTGGACGTATTGTTCCATTTTTTCTTTTGTTGTCAAAGACTTCAAAGCATTTAGACGAAGTCCTCAAATTCTTTTCGTCCTTGTTATACTGCAGTACTTAGGTAAAAGGCACTAAGGCTCATTTACTGCCTTTTTTAAATGTTGACGCCAATACATTTCTTTTATTATTACAATTACAAAATGTATCATCAAAAATAGTTATTTTTTCCACTTTGACAAATATTTCATACAAATTTCCTAAGTAGTCTAATCACATTAGACGAAAATACCGCTTGTTTAAGAAATAATTGTAAAGTGTTTTTACTTTTTATTCGACAACAAAGAATGAGAAAACGTGTTTTTTGGGATTCAATCGAAAGTGTTGGGAGGAATGAAAAAACTCTTCATATAAGATTTTTAGGTATTTATGAGACCTACAAAATAAGACCACACGTAAAAAGATCCGACTGATAGCAAAAAAGTTATACTTCTATTTTTATACTTTACTGCCTTGGAACCTAAGTATGGCAGTGTAATTTTAGTGTACATCTTACGTTTGTTGTGCAGGTTCTAAATGGTATAAAGATTTCGAGCAACATCTATCAAGGTCTGTACGATTTGAACTTCAACTTCCACACGATCATCATGCCAGAAACTATGAAGAAGATCCAGTGCGACGAACCGACTGTATTGCAAATGATATTTGATGTCAACAAACTTATTGTCGACATCGGTCTTTCCATCAGTGATATGATACTGCAGCTTGAGAAATTGCTCACTTGTGTACTCATGCAAATGGATGTTAATGTACGTTGATTTTTTTATATTTTTTTACTTTTCGATTTTGTTCCGGGCAATCATTGTGTCTCGACCCATAGTAATAGCATGTGAACATTGGAGAAGTTTACACAAGATCATTGAACTGGATAAAATCTGAACAAAGATTAAAAATTCGTTTTCCGATCAAAGCGTTTTACCTTGGAGGTTAGCGTCTAACTTTCGTTAAACTTGATGATTTTGCACTTAATTGTATCGTTCGCATTCTAATGAAATGTACAGGCTGTTCCAGAATACCATAGTAGTGTCTCGAATGCATATAGAAAACAAAAAAATAATGCCACCAATTCCTAAAAAAAATGACCTCCAAAAGGACGCTGTTGAAATCGTCTTTTTTAAACCTTTTGAGCGACACTATATAATTCACGACCCGGTAACTAGTAAGGACCTCGGATTTTTTTCTTATTATCGATACTGTTGAGGTTAATTAGATAAAATATAATTAATGTTTATTTATTTTTATTCCCACACATATATATGAAATAACATATGATCCTCTCGGTAGTAGTCGTGGGAGATGAATAAATTTTATTATAAATTGAAAAAATAAAACTTTTTGCACTTGGTTTTTGCACTTAGTTGCAATAAAAAACATAATGTAAAATAGTTGTTCTATTTTTATTCCAAATTTTATTTAGGATTAAGACGTATATAGAAAAAAATATCTATGTTACTTAGTCACCTTTCAATAAAGACATCTATATCAACGTTTAGTGCTCTCCGTGCCCAAGGTCCCTGGAGGGGACCTGAGATATCAAACTTCAAAAGTACGTATAATTACTCGTTCGATAATTTCTATTATTTGAATAAAAATGCATTAAAAAAACCAATCGTAATGTAGATAATACGAAACCTACCTTTTTGTTTCCATGGTTAGCAAAAAAGGCGCGAAAGGGTACGAAACATGGTGTAGAGAACGACTTTAACAAGTTTTTACCAGTCTGAGGATGTATGTTTTCCCATAAAATCGATGTTTCCTTCCATCTCAGTGATGAGATCGATCGACGTCAACTTAAGGCTGACTTTTTAAAAAATACAAAAAATTGGTCCCCTCTAGGAGACCTTGCGAATTTTTATGGTTAACGCAATATTGCTTATAGTCCTCCGTATTATTGATGGCTCGAAAATAATATTTTTGGAAAGCGCATAATCATTTAGCTGAAAAAAGATCTTACCATTGTTTTGGCTTCCAGTTGAAATGTAACTTGATATTTTTTACTCCCATCTGTCTTGAAATCAAGTCATTAAACATTTCAGACTGCCTACGAATATGTCCTCGAAAGAACTGCGTTCGCGAAGAAACGCTTCCAGATGCTCATTCCTAACCAGAATGAATCCCTGACCCAAGGCCAAATGCTGCTTATGGGATTCAACGGACTGTTCGATAAGCTCAACCAGGAGATTAACAACTTAGTCGCAACCCTGGGCGATTTAGAAATACCCAAATCTTGGAAGAAATTGGACCATGTGAAGGAAGCTAAGAGCATCGCCCCACATATCTTCCATGCCGAGGTAATACACGGTGTAAACGTTATGATAGTCATTATTTAAATGGGTGGTAGAGGGGATTAAAAGAAGCAAAAAGTTTCATATATCATGGAGGTCAAAACGGCATTTTTTAGAGAAAAGCGACTTTAAAGTAAAATAAAATCTCACAACGCCGCAATGCGAGACGCAAATTACGACGGAACGCAGTGTAAATAAAGATGGAGTTTGTTATTTTTTGCTCTTAGGTATTATTTTATTATTTGAAATGTACTCGTAAAACGCAAACAACTAAAAAAACGGACATACCACTAACTGTCTCAGCGCTTCACCTGGTGTGTGAAAGTTTATTGAACGTATTAAAAAAAATCCACTCATAAATAGGGAACGCAATTTTGGTACATACATTGTTTTTCTTTTTAAAACCCACGCTGCACTTTTTTTGTATTTAAAGAAGGTGTTCAAAATGTCGTCCTCCACTTTCCACACAAGCTTCATTACGAACCCAGTTTCTTCTTACTCTAGGTCCTCGAAGTTGTCCATTTATTATTTCAGCCGCATTAAAATTTTTTTCGCGAAGTTGTGCTTCAGTTGTTATTCGACCAGCCCCATAAACCATCCCTTTAAGTTCTCCCCAATACCAGAAATCCATCGGATTGAGGTCTGACCATTTTCGACGATCATGAGCATTTCGACCGATCTAGCGATTTGGATAATGTTCATTCAAATACTGAATGACGCCTCTAAAATGTGTGGTGGTGCCCCGTCATGAAGAAACCACAAATTCTATCTCCGTTGTAATGGCATGTTGTCTAAGGTCTGTTCCAAAAGTTCTGATAGGTTATTGGCTAGAAAGCTAAGGTATCCTTCTCCTGACAACTTTGGGGGTAACTCGGAATGCCCAATTACCTCATCGTCAAGAATACCCGCCAAAATATTTATTTTAAAAGGTTGTTGGAAATGACCTTCACGAATGGTATGAAGATTTTCTTGGACCCACGTGTGAGTATTATGGAAATTTAATATCCCGTCTCGCGTAAAAGTACATTCGTCCGTCGCTAGAATGTTTTTAAAAAAATCCGGATTTTCAATGTTTTTGTGCAAAAATCACTGACAGAATGTTAGTCTGCGAGGATAGTCTTCTGGTAACAAGGCCTGCACTCGTTGTACATGGTAGGGATAAAGCTAATTTTCCCGTAGGATTCTAAGGACTATAGTATGCGAGTGCTGATATCTGCATTGATTTCCACGATATTTAAAATTTGTTCCTCCTGCTCTACAGTAACCTGTCTTTCACGGGTGCGAATATTAGTGGGCTGAACACTTCCTATATCTCGAAGTCTTTGGTACACTTGCACAAATGTCCTTCTGTCTGAGTGTACCCGTTGGCGAAATCTGTCGCGATAAATTTGAGCTGCAAGATTTGAATTTTGACGAGCTTCACCGTAAACAACATGTGGGCGAACTCTTGATTCGAGAACATTGTAAATAAAAACGACGATGTACGCGAACAATAACTAACCATTATTACCGTTTGCGATCGATTGCCGGTTCGATAAGAGCTATGAATGACCGACGCGCTGTTGTCATGTGGGTTTTAAATATTTAATTTAATGAAACTCACTTACTGACTACAAATTTTGGCTTAACTTAGAAAAACTTATGCCATTTATTTGTTAATTACCCAATTTAAAAACGTTTTAGATTAGATAATAAAAATTAGTAAGATTGTGGTGATTTAGACAAAAATCTATTGACTTTTATACCATGGGTCACAGAACTTTTTGACTTGTTTTGACCCCCCCCCCTATTACCCATTTCAATAATTATAACTTTTAATCTCTATACAGAGTGTTACTTAATTGGATGTCAGTATTCAAGGGGATTGTTTTTGGATTCATTTCAAGAAGAAAACTTGAGAACGTGTGCCTTAAACGTCCCAACTCCTGAAATACAGTGTGGTAAAGTTCCAAAAATAAATACGAGGTATGTAAGGTCTGAAGTGTATTTTTGGAATCCTTATTCGCATATGAGCAGATCTTTTGAATTTTTTGGATTTTGTTAGTCCCACGCTCGGTTTCGCCTAAAAAATAAAATATATTTCTCTACAAGGTATATAATATTGTCATACTAATGATGATCATGCAGAAACATGTTTTTATTTTTTCAAGTGAAAACTGTGCATCGGATTGAAAAATCTAGCTTCACATTTGCTTAAAATGATTGGGGATTTGAAGAATCATTCTTATTTTAAGAGAAATCGATAAAATTCCATATGATCGCTACCGGTGGAAATTAAAAAAAAATACTACTTCAGAGTTTACGTATTTTGTATCCTTACTTCTTTTTTATTTTTTAAAACTTTACGATCTTGTCTTTCGAAAGTTAAGACGTCTAGTACGTATGTGTATATGAAGTTTTCTTAAGATAGACAAAAAATTGCCACCTTAAATATTGACAATCAAGTAGGAAACATCCTGTATATAAAATTATGCGACTCAGTTCTGTTGATTTGACTTCGATTTGGGCCGAACGAATAATTATAGCGACGGAAATTTTTAGTTCTCTATAATAATTTTGCTGAGAATAATCATTTTTTTCTAACAGGTGCGTGCTATTTTAGAAGACATATTCCTTCTGAAGCGTATCAAGACAATTTCCGAATTTTTCGTGCTGGCTCAAGAGACTTGCGTTACGCTGAAAGGAATGGGTAGTAATATGCTTCTAACTGACGATCAACTGGCGAAACCAGTCAAGCAGTTCATAGCAGAGTTTATATCCAGGAACATACTGGGAATCATACCGGAGAATATCACGTACGCCGTTTGTTTCCTCTTGCAGAAGCTGGGACTCGATATAACACATGAGATTGAACAAAAGGACATCGGAGCTGAAAGCAAGGTATCAAAGTTTACTAAGTTAGATTTTTATCAAAAGATATACTGAGTGACAAAACATGTAAACACCTACGTATGTTTATCCGATTTTAATAATTTTTGGCATATGTTCAGTGTCCCTTGGATGGTGTTTAGGTATGGAATAAGATGAAGCTCCACTGCTTCCTGAATATAGCGTCGGGCTGTCATATTGCCTGTGATGAAAATGAGTGGTGATCTGCTACCATAAAAAATAGCACCCCATACCATAACATAACTCCCACAGTGTGGAGAACGTGACGCTCTCTGTCAAATTGTGGGTCACCACATCGCCTTCTTACTCTTGCCCGACCATCGTGCATCCCCAGACAGAAGCGGGATTCGTCATACAAAAGGCCACCTGATTCGACGATAACCACCCAACCACCCTTCCATGCTCTTCAAACTACTGATTAGCGATGGCTCGAGTACTACTGAATCTGTCTCTCACAGCCAGAAGTCTTAACCAGCGGTCTGGTCGCTCTATGGTCTGTCTGGGACAGAACCCCTCGCTCGCTCTCCTCGGCTGTCCACGCTCGTTCACACTCCAGTATACTACGTAAGGATCTGTTGGTCCTCATTTCCTCCTAGAAACTTCTCTTGTCGATAGACCGGCCTCACGCACCCCGACAATTCGACCCCTCTCAAAGTCACTAATCTGGGACACCCGGAGAATTCCAGGCACTCTAGGCATTTTGAGCAATCACAAAAAGGCTTCTCAATAAGCTACACAAAACTTAACATGCAACTGACACCGTAAATGTGTACGAAAACTGAATGCTTCATCACCAAACAATACACGCAGCCATCGCAAAAACTTAACATAAAAACCTGACCATTTTATCACTTGTTCATGGCTAGATAAATCGATCTGTAAAAAATTCTTGAATTATAATAAACGTACGTAGGTGTTTACCTTTTTTGTGAGTATATATACAGGGACACAAGTTTGCCAAAAAATCACGTGAATACGTGCAGCTCCCTGGGCGAGGGTGGCACCAACCCTAAAATCTTAAATGGAAAGGGGGTCGAGTGATACCTTATTTTAAAGGTCTTTCAAGTCCCTTTATAATGATATAAAATTAATGTACTTCAGTTCAGTAGTTTTGAAGATTTCTTGATTTAAAGCTTAAATAAAACTAATACATCATCATTAGTGGAGATCAATACATTTGGCAGCAAAGTAATTTAAAAATGAAGAATGAACTGACCCGTTAGGCAAGTAAATGTTGAAAATGGCCGGCATTCTCTATGGTGCCTTCATCAGGATTTCGTCGGTGAGGTTGCAGCCACAAGGTGTTTCAAAACGAAGGTAGAGAAGATAGAACTTGTAATCAGTATAAAAACAAAAGGACGGGGACATTGGGCATGTTGAAAACGACAGATACCTTCGTTACATGTTCAAAATATCAACCCACCTGAACAAATTAAAAAGTATTACGCGTGAGAAGATATTTTAGTGAAACAATCGGAATGCATATATATATATATATATATATATATATATATACAGGGTGACTTCGAAGTTGAGTCATTTATTTTAACAGTGAGTAGATCTGATCAAAAGAAATGTTTTTTTTCTTTAACATTTTCTGGTAAAATTAAAGTAACAAAGTTATAGCCCTTTAGAAGTTTGAGTACCGCCCTGTCTCAATAATAATATTATGTGCTCGTGTTTGGCAACAACGGATATAATCCGCCTTATCCGTTCATCGCATCGGAAACAAAAAAGCGAAAGAATTTGAAACGCTGATCACGATGTTTTTATTCAGTCAATGTGTCAGTCGGTAACGCGTGAGTGAATAGTGGTGTTTGTTGCGTGGCTCAAACGAAATAAAAAATGCTGAATGTAGTACAAAGGGCTCGTGAATCAGGTGACTTAAGACCTCACAGGGGAGGGCATGCCGGTGCTCCAAGACCACACGATCAAATACAGGTCCGCACTGAAATACTTGTCGGGAGGATACTTTATAAAACAAGGTAACAATTTCTTTTTAATTTTTTTTTTATTTTTACACACATCTTTTGGTTTATCTTCCTTCTACAATCATTATCTGAAAATTAATGACTCAACTTCAAAGTCAGTATATATCATTATTTGTCAACTGTGATACTGTAATGGGTTTTTTTCATACTTCGCCTAGTTTTAACCAAAATGTAATTTTTTTTAGAAACGTGCCTCCACTACCTCAGAATCAGGTTGTTCCATTTCCATCATATCCAGGTCTTAGTGTGAAAACACATTATCTACAATTTTTGTAAAATTTAGCGTTGATACACCATACTCCATTACCTTTGGTATAAAAAAATCGCATCTCAAAGCCTAATCCTTGATTCAGGGAGTAAAAGTAACATACATTTTTTGACACCATAAGAAGAAAAAAGTTGTTGAACACCAACTAGAGTATGGCTACTGATTTCACAAAAATTGTAGATAAACGTCTGATGAGACTAAGACCTCGATGTGAGGAGCGAATACGAAATAAAGACTTTATTCAAGGTGTTCTGATAGTCCGGATTTTTTAGAAACAACTACGAGTCTGTAAATTGAGTAATGAGACAGATTTTGTTTAGTTTATTTATTGATATATAATTAAAATTTTATATTGTTACCCTCAAAATAACTTCCTCCTGAAGCCACTCAACGCTGGAGATGGTTTTTACATTCCTCATAGCACTACTGGAACTCCGATATTAGAATAACCTTCTGCTGGTCGGTTACAGCCGTTTGAACGCTTACGGATGTCCCAAAATGTTTCAGAAAAAAGTCACAAGGACACACGCCAGGCGAATAAGGAGGCTGAGGAGTCACATGAATGTTTTTACTGTCTAAGAACAGCTGTATGACAATTAGCATTATCGTGATGCAACAGCCAGTTTTTCTTGGTGGTGTGATTCAAATTTAACTCTTCTCCGATCATTCTGGCTGTCAACCGACTCTCTGAATGCACAGCATCCCGGATTCTGTCGATATTTTCATCGGTTCTTGAAAATGAAGGCCTTCTGCATCGTGGTTCTTCTTCAATCGACTCTCTCCCTTCTGAAAATGCCTAAAACCTGGGCTCTTGATCAAACAGTATCTCCGTAGGCCTGCTGAAGTCTTAAGCAAAACCTGATAGCACACCGTTGCTCGAAGTTGATGTAACTCATTTTTAGAACACAATAGAAAAACTCTTTCACAAAAAAAATCGCTATGGGCAACCAAGGTACTCGAGCGAGTCAATATCAATATCAATCAATAACCTTTATTTCCATACAGACAATATATAATTGTATTGGAATTGTCAATTTTTCGTTCGCTACAAACCTACAACTAATCTCAAATTGCAATGTTCAAAAATTCATCAACACGATAAAAGCACTTGTTTATCAAAAATTGCTTCAACAGGAACTTAAAGCCGTTAATATTTTTAACCGAGGTAATGTGGCATGGTAAATTATTAAAAAGAAGCGGACCAATTTTATTAGGTGATCGAAATGCCGCTTTTGATTTGCTAAAGTTTACATATAAATTATTACAAGTCCTTGTATTATAATTATGCATATCACAATTCCGCTTGAATTTTTCATTATTTTTAAAAACATGTAAGCACAATTCATATATATACAACTAAGGGACAGTTAAAATGTTGAAACTTATAAAATATTTTTTGCAACTTTCTGTTGGTGAGATGCCTGCTAATGATCGGATGCATCTTTTTTGAGACACAAATACATTTTCAGAGCGCGTTGACCAACCCCAGAAACATACTCCATATCTTAATCTCGAATCCACATTAGCAAAATAAACCTGTATCAATTGTTCAGCTGTTAAGATGGTTTTTAATTGCCTCAACACATAGCTTTGAGAGTACATTTTTGATGTGAGAAATTCGCAGTGGGCCTTCCAATTTAAGTTCGAATCAAGATGAACTCCAAGAAATTTCACTTCTCTAAAATCGATTTGATCGTCACCCAATCTAACTTGAAACCCTTCTACAGTTTTTTGAGCATGATGAAAACGAATAAGCGTTGTTTTGGAAGGATTCAAGTAAAGTGAGTACTGGTTAAACCATGTATTGATATTCCGAATTAAGTTGTTACATTTATCTTCTAAAATTATATTTGAATTACTTGATATTATCGCAGAAACGTCATCAGCATATGCTGTAAAATGGGTATCTGGATGAACATTATCAAACCGATTAATGTATAAGAGGAAAAAGATTGGTCCAAGAATAGAGCCCTGAGGGACTCCAATCGAGATGTCTAACGTACTTGACCCAAAGTTTTTCATATTGTTCCCTGCATCAAGATATTATACTGAAACATATTGTTTTCTTTGGACTAAAAACGATCTGGCCCATTTAAGAGACTGATCGACAAAACCATATTTAACAATAATCTCCAAGAATTTGTTGTGATCAACGCAGTCGAATGCCCTACTGAGATCACAGAATACCCCAGTAGGGCACTCGCCCGCGTCGATGTATTCTATAAACTTCTCATAAAAGGAATGTATGGCTGACATTGTGGTCTTACCATCTGTGAAACCATGAGTTCAAACTTGTAATGGATCCTGTCTCCCCTCTAAGCCCGGCGCCTCCAGCGTTATCAGATCCAACGCTACGTTGCCAATAACATCACTTGATTTACAGATCTGGTACATTTGAAATAACAAAGCTAGTGTGGTATAACAGCTAAAATTGATAAAAAACACTTAAATCTTCTTTTTCAAAATATTTCATGTACTTCCCTTTCAAATATTGCTTGTAAGCTATCATTGTTCGATTCAAAATCTTCTTCCACAGCTTAAAACATGCCGGACGTTTTAGTTTTACTAGAACTAAACGCTGAGCGAAGGAAGGTCCTAACTTCAAGAAAAATGTCTATATTGACAGTTTAATATAGCATGTATGTATGTCCCACCTGTTTTCAGCTTAAATAAAATGAATTCGTTTAATACGAGGGAGTCTTTTAAGTTTTGCATATGGAAATAAAACAACACGGTAGGTAGTTTTAAATGACTTTATTGTTTTTCGAAGCATTTATTCCACTCGTTTGCTGGCAGATCCAAAACGGCATTTTTGAATGCGTCAACAGCTTCTTCTGATGACTGGAACCTTTGACCACGTTTTTAATTTTCGGGAAAGTAAAGAAACCGGTAGCACTTAGATCGGGACTATATGGAGGATGGTCTAATAATTCCACGTTTTCTTCCGTTAAATACTGCCTTGTTTTTTGGGCTGTGTGCGAGCTTGTATTGTCTTGGTGGAGGATGATTCTTCTTTTGGGGTTGATTTTTCGAAGCTCGGTGATGACTTTTGGCAAACAAATGGTGGTATACCAATCCGCAGTAAGAGTTTTTTGATCATTAAGAGGAATTGTTGCAATATGACCCGCTTTTGACACAAATGTTGCGACCATCTTTTTCGAAACACTTCGAGAACGGATGACTTTTGTCGGCTTTTCGTCACCTTGGAACACCCAAACAGACGACTGTCGTTTATTTTCTGGTTCATAACTGTAAATCCACGATTCATCACCACTAACAATGCTGTACACATTTTTTGAGTTTCCGGAATTGAAACGGTCAAGCGTTTTTTGACACCTGGCTGCTTTCTGCTCTTCAGTCAGCAGGTGGGGTTTCCAACGAGAAACTAATTTTCTTACTCCTAATTCTTCATGTAAAATTTTTTGAATTGAGATCTTTGAGACCTTCAAGGACGCCTCAATCTCGCGATATGTCACATGTCTATCTTCAATGATGAGTTTGCGCACAGCATCGACGTTTTCCTGGGTGCACCCAGTCGCTAAGACTCACCCGTCCACGTTTGAATTCTCCATACCAACGGCAAATTGTCGACTGATGTTTCGCTTCGTTGCCAAAAACAGACAGTAACTCAGCAAGGCATTCTTGTTGCGATAATTGTCTCTGAAAGTTGTAATAAATTATGGCGCGAAAATGTTCTCGGTTGAGTTCCATTTCTCTAATGACTTGGTGACACTTAAAAATTCACTGTAGTGAGAACACTGCACGTATTGTTGTGAAACTCTGAGTTTAAGTTTACTAAAGAGTGAGGTTAAGATTCAGTACTGACGTTCGATCCGCGCGGCCTACTATGTTTCTATATGCAAAACTTAAAGACATCCCTCGTAACAAATACCGCTGTCCAAACGACTTAAAATTTTTAACGACTTAAGGGTGCGGGTCTTATCGGCGCTTTTCGCGGAGCTAGAGTAGTTAAATGATCATTTTAAAGGAATGGTTTCTTTGAGGTTCGACCATTGAAAACTACGGGATATTCGTTTAACGGCAGTCCCCCTGTTTTTAGGCTATTTTCGCTTGTTCTAGGTGCCATTAGACGATCTCTACACAAAAGCCTGGAACGTCCTCCTGAAGGAAGGCGTCTTCTCTCAGAATGTCCTGTCGCAGGCATCCAGCCTGGAAAGCAATCTGAAGCTGGCATGGGAGAAACTGCAGGAGCCGAAAAAGATCGAGCAGAAATTGACGTTGATGCAGTCGAGCACTATGCGACTCAGAAGCCAATTGGCTGTTCATAATGTCATGTTTGATGAGATACTCACTTTGCGGAACTTCGCGTCGATTAGAGCTAAGTTCATAGTGGATATTCAGGCGGAGGTCGCTTCACTTCAAGCTGTATATAGGTATGTTAGTTTGGAAATTATCACTTGCAATTTCTATGGACGTGATAAACGTTTTTACTCAACATCACGGCTACCGCGTTAAGTTCCCATGTTCATGATCCCTTCATCCTCCCCCCATATTTTGTTTGTTTAAAATTTACTTAGCATGATGATTACTATTACATTCGTTTAAAAAACTACAACATAACTTCACATATACAACATGTTTGGTCACGACATAGCGATATTTGAGGGGGATATTTTTCAACTATTTTTATCGACAAACCGACAACCTACAATGTCATACCTCACCCCCTTGAAAGGGATCCATACCGCTGCGAACGAAATTAGAGCTGACACGGATATAGTCTGCCGCTCAACACGACACATTGTTTTAAGAACGACAATGTGCATAACCAATAATGGAGGACATTTTGAACAGCTTCTGTAACATTAAACATGTCCAAACTCTCTATAAGAAACATTGATTTGTCATTTTTATGTATGTATTTACACCCATTTTGACCGATATTAGATAGCATTTATTGCTTATCGTTAAATACTTAGGATAACAAAAAGCTGTAGAATTAGCACAAAAAAAGTACAACTTCTCTGACTAGTTTTTGAATGGTGTGCGGAAATGCCCAAAAAGGTAGGACATTGTAGGAGGTGGATTTGTCGATAAAAATAACTGAAAAATCACCCCTCTTAAATATCGGTATGTCGTGACCAAACACATTGTATAGAAAAACAAAATTTGAACATATTTAAATTACTAATAGACTTGATATCGTTATTTAGTTTAATAAATTCAAGCAATCCTTTCTGAAATATTGATTTGCTAGTCTTACTAATTGCAATTTTATAAACGAAAATCTATATTTCCTCTTGTATAATAATTATGGTGTTCTAAATGCTGCGGCCCAAAATGACTTTTTATTTTAAATGTGATATGAACTTTTTATATTTAACCACTGCAATCCTTGTAACATACATTTTATTTTGGTGCACTTAATTTCATTCAATGTTATTCTCATAGTTTTTTTTTGTTTGGCAGTGCACAAGATAACTATTTTTTTGGAATATGTACTAAGACTATGAGATACCCTATAAAAGTAATTTATTTTTTTGTCAATTTTTAAATAATGTTTTCATAGTGATCTTTAAACTTTAGTTTACTATCATTATACGAAGTTTGTCCGAAAAATACGTATAAAAGTGGAATAACTCCATTTTACAATTGTTCAGGTATTTCAATATGATCTACTTTCACGTACTCCCCCTGAGACAAGATGCACTTCTGCCAACGCCGTTTCCACCTCTGATACGATCGCAGAAAGCCTTCAATTATTATGAGGCTCTTCATTTGCTGTGTCGTTTCTGCCTTGGTGGCTTCCACATCCCCCAAGTGACGCATCCGAAGCACCATTTTGCCTTTTGGGAACAGGAAGAAGTCACAAGGGGCTAAATCGGGTGAATAACGAGAGACGCGTTGTCGTGAAGAAGGATCCACCTGCCCCCTTGTGCCAAATGCGGTCAAACTCGGGCCACACGAGCTCTGAGACGACGCACAACTTCAATGTAGAAATTTCCGTGCACTGTCTGGCCGAGAGGGACAACTTCGTGGTGAACAATGCCCCGGGAATTAAAGAAACAAGCAACATTGTTTTCACATTGGACCTTGATTTTTTCGACTTTTTTGTTCTCGATTCCCCTGCTTGCTTCCACTCCAATCTTTGAGTTTTCAGCTTCACATCGAATTCGTAGAACCCAGACTCGTCTCCAGTGATGACCTGGTTGAGAAAGTCCCCCCTTTCCTCTGCTTCCAACCAATCCTCACAGCAAGCAACCCTCCTTGCTTTCTGTTCTGGAGTCAAGAGCTTCGGAACGATTTTCGCGCACAATTTTTTCATTTCAAGTTTTTCTGTCAGAATTTCGTGAACGATTGTTTTGGGGATTGACAGTTCCTTAGCCCAGAATTCGCTCAACATTTCCCTCAGAGCTCGATGTGAAGGGGCGTCTTGAGCTTGGTCATCTTTCACATCATCTCTGCCTTCCCGAAACCAACCCCCAACCACTTGTTGACGGAGAATTGTGTCCGTACACTTGTTCCAAACACTCAAACATTTTTTTTTGCAATAAACTTGATGTTGATGCGCTGTTCCTCGATCAGAGAGAGTTCCATGCCGACAGCAGGTAAAAAAAGGGTTGCTTTCAACAAGCAAAACTAACTCCAACTTACTCGCAGAGCGCTTGGCTCGAACTGAGCATAGAGAGGATTGCATAGAGAGGAGTCCACAGAGAGAGGGAACCACAGGCCACCCATCCACAATGCCTTGACACGACGCCACGAATTTTTTATACGTATTTGCCGGACAAACCTCGTATATACCCAAATATTTAAATGATTCAACATTTTCAATTATTTCACTATTAACTGTGATATTATTTTCATTCATGTATTTCCTTATTAGCATACATTTTATTTTAGAAGCATGCTATTTTAGCTTATTTACATTTAACCACTTTATGCCAGAGTTTAGCAATTTTAAAGCGGTGTCTGTTTTATCTGCAAATATCGGAATTTTACGATAATCCAAAATATCACAAATGTCATTAATGTATAAAATAAATAGTAGTAGACCTAGTCTCCTACCGTGTAATACACTAACTGAAATATTTTTTGAGCTTCAGAATATCCAATTTTTGTTTTTTCTTGTGTCAATTTTGAATACAGATCCTTTAAACCCATAGTGATCCAATTTTGTAAGTAATTTATCCCTGTAAATAGTTTCGAACGTCCTTTGAAAGTCCAAAAAACACTGACAGTGTACCATTTGTACTGCTGTTTCCCTTGAGTGTTCTTCCTGACTCCAGCTTGAAATTTGGTTAAAATTCTATTTCCTTCGATGAATTCGATGATTCATAGTTTCTTTAAATACTTTTTTAATATCTGACAGACCATTTTTTGCCTACATATTGCTGGACAGCTTAGAATTCTTAACATTCGAAACATGAGTTATGGTACAACACTTTTGTTGGAAATTCGTCATATTTTAAACAGTAATTTATCAGGATTAATATTGCTCCAATAATATCCAAACAACCATTAACTACCCTTTTAGACAAAATCTCACTCTTATTTTGATTTGACTTCAATTTTGGTATAATCCTCTTAAGACGATTAATGTTTATTGTTGATACTTTCTATGAAATAGTATATTCCTTTGATATGCTATTATTTTTTCATTTGTCATTACCCCAGCAAAATGTGTTGTCTGTCCGAATCCATACTATCCCTACTTATATTATAAATGAGGGAGTGTGGATGTTTGTTACTTGATCACGCCAAAATGGTTGAACGGAACTGGATGAACTTTGCTAGACCGGATGTTTGAAATTTGACCCTCACTATTGGGATCTCGGTAACGGTAAGAGATATGGAGTCGCTTAAATGGGGCAAAGTTGCGTATTTAGGTAATTAGCAAAAACTGCCGCTTAGAAAGTTTCGAAATTCAAAGTACTTCCGAAGAAAGACTGAAACACCGAATTTTCCCAACAACGTTTTGTTTTTACCTGACTTTATTCGTAGTAGGATTTCAAAATAAATTGCACATTAACATCGCCACTTCTCTCCTCTACAAAATGGCATAGTTAGAATTTCAATATGATGTTTCGTTCCTTGTCAATCTATTTAAAAATATATATTCCTAAGGTAAGCCTTGAAATTATCAGATAATCATTTGTTTCGTATACTAGGTTTAATGCAATCTAATCAGAATAAACAGCGCTGAACAGACAACATTGTGAATATCCGCCATGATTTATGCCTGCTTATTTATGATTATTATCGTTATTTTGTAGGCAACGCCTGATTCTTCTGTGTGCATTATTCAGAGCTCAATTTATCGTGATTTTGCTATAAATCTGGTATACGAAACAAATGAAATCTAATAATTTCAAGGCCTACCTAGGAAATTCTGTTCTTTTTTAAATAACTAAGGTTTTGCACTGTCAACGTATGACATATTATAGATTTTTGAAATCAGAATTAAAAACTCTATTGAACTGTGCAAAAATCCTATAAGAAAAAATAAAGTTTCCTATAAGAAAAAATAAAGTTGAAGCTGGATGACAAGAGATGAAACGTCTTATTGAAATTTTGATTGTTATTTTGTAGAGGAGAAAAGTAGCAATGTGCAATTTATTCTGAAATCCCACTATAAATAAAGTCAGGAAAAAATTAGAACTAATTTGGGAGAAATCGTTTTTTTTTTGAAAGTACCTGCATTTTGAGAGTATTTTTGGCATTATGCTGTTTTTTTTTGACATTATGTAGGTTTTTCTAGAAGATGTTAGCTTAGCACTTAGTTGTAGGTGTTGCCTAAACGTCATGAGGCTTGTTATCAATCTTTGGTTCTGATGTGATGTAAAATCTGCTTCTGAGATGGCATTACTGGAGGTCTAAGCTGTAAGTGGTATGTGTTGATGATAATTACATTGAGTTCTTGACTCAAATACACTTAATTGAGATTCAAAGCTAGAAATTAGTTGCGCAGCCACTTTTTCTTATCCATTCTGGAAATTACCTATACAAATTTGCTGAATATCAAAAATGAGAGAGATAAGAAATAGCTATATACATGCTACCAGCAATTACACACAACGCGGACGCGGTGAGAATTTATCGTAATTCTCCTCAGTTTTTCGTAATTTATAACTTTGCTACATAACCTCTCTTCAGAAAGCACAACATAAAAATAACCCGTCAGGCACAGCCAATAGATATACTTCATTGGCAGCATATTCAGTAATGATTATCTCACACAGCAAATATCACTGATTTTATACACCTGTCAACCCATACACATAACATCCAGATGCGATCTTGCTATTCAACCAACTTTCTTTTCAGAGATAAAAACTACAGGCGAGGACCACTCGGCCTTATAAAACACATGCAACCAATAATGCGTTTTGTTTAGTTAAGTGATTCCTCCATAGATGGACGTTCACAACGA